ATCTGAACACAGGCTGGATAAAGATGATTTTAAAGATTTGTTGAAACTGGCTAAGTATAGTAATGCTACTTTTAAAGAGAGTATGGATTTAGGAATTATATGCATGAAGCAAAGGGGCTGTGTGGACACAGCTCAGGGAGACTGAGGAGGAGGCCTGAACAGAAGATGATGAGCTTGTGGACTGGGGTAGGGAGGACTACGAGAGAGGAAAGGCCAGGAACAGGGTGAGGGGAAGATGGGGGTAGGCTAGGGCAGAGTGAGGGAGAGTGAGGTCAGGTCTAATAGAGATGGCGGGGCAGCAGCAACAGCTGAAGGCAATGTTAACAGCAGGGATTCTGCAGGCCCAGAAGTATCCCAGCTGGGTCTTAAGATGGCAGACACCCAGGTCCACCGCATCCCTACCCTGGAATCCCAGTACCTGCCCCATTGCCTCAACAGCAGAGGAGCCCTCCCAGCTTGTTCCACCTCCTTAATGCAGACTCTGGCCTTCTTCTTACAGACTGGGGTATTGCTGAGAGTCCCCCTGCTGTCTGGATATGTTCATACTCCTGACTGCCTATTCCGCTCCTGCCACCTCCCCAAGGCTGGCTCTGGAGCCCTACCACCAATCCCTACACGTGTAAGAAGCTGGGGACCTCAACCTCTCACCGCATAGGTTTCCTTTCTTCTCTTTCCTGCCGCTTCACCTTCCTTTTCCTGCCCACACCCTCCTTTATTCCTTCAGCTTTCTTGACATTTACTAGCTGGTAGTCTTTGCAAGCAATCCTGGTATGGTGCTGCACATGATGCACTGGATCACAAGGTCCAGTGAACCGCTAGGGTGGCAGTTCAAACCCACCAGCTGCTCCTCGGAAATCCTACATAAGCTCGCTATGGGTGAGAACCGTCTGAATGGCACTATACAACAACAAGCCTTTGCAAGGACTTACCTGCCTGTGCCTCAGTCTCCTCAGCTGTAACACAGGGATAACAGCAGACATTCTACCCTGGGCTGCTCTGAGCATTTGTGAACTTATACGGAGTCCTGGTCTGGCACTGCAAGGTGGGCAGTTCAAGTTTACCAGCCACTCCTTGGAAACCTTATACAGGGTCTTTATGAGTTGGAACCTACTCGATGGTATTTAACAACAACGTTTGAATTGCTTGGAGTAGCACTAACACATAGGAACAGCTGTGTGTTCTTTGTCATTATTTCTCTTCTCCTCCGTCTGTGTCTTCAGCTTACAAGAGCCCAAGGGCAAGCCTCCCTCAGTTCAAGACACCTGGCCATGCTGATCCCAGGGCAAAGAGTCCTGGAAACCATCCATGAACAAGAAGTCCAAACTTGGGAACTGGGAGAGTCTTTCATGGCCTGGGGTGTAAAGCCTAGCAAACAGACCTACCTACTACCATAGAATCGATTCCGACTCATGGCCACCTTGATAGGTTTTCTGAGACTGCAAATCTTTACTGTAGCAGAAAGTTTCATCTTTCTCCTGAGGAGAGTTTGGTGGGTTTGAACTGCTGACCTTGTGGTTAATAGTGTGCTGCTTATCCTACAGTGCCACCAAGGCTCCTTTAGCAAACAGCAGCTGGTTGTCTTATCTGGATAAACCAAAAAACAAGTCATCTGCCAATGAGTGCGTTTTGACTCATAGCGACCTCACAGGGCAGAGTAGAACTGAAAAGATTTACAGAAGCAGAGACAGCCATGTACTTCTCCTGCGGACCAGCTGATGGGTTCAAATAGCTGACTTTGTGGTTAGCAGCCCAGCATTTAACCAATGTGCCACCAGGGTTCCTTTGTATCTGGATAATTGAGCTAAAACATCACCTTGTTTATGGGACAAACTTCTCTTGAGTTTTACGACTCTGTGGAAAATATTTTGAAGTCCAAATCTCCATATAAGACTCAATATTAGTGCTTTTTCCAGATGGCAAATAGCTTTAAGGTGCACTTCTAACTCTGCCAGGTTTATTTGTAAGAACACTAATTATCTCATTTGAAACAGATTCCTTTTATGATTGTGATTAGCCTTCTTTCTAATAAGTACGCAAATGGAAACCTTGGGATTTTCCAAAGCAGAAACACCCTACCCATAAGTATTATTCCCAAGTCATATTCTCTCTCATGTCAGAAAGGCACACGGCAGATCATGTGTAAGGTTTCCAACTCATGATGACCACATGTGTGTCACAGTAGAACTGTGCTCCACAGGGTTTTTAGGGGTGGATTTTTCAGAAGTACATCATCAGGCCTTTCTTCTGAGGTGCTTCTGGGTGGACTTGAACCTCCAACCTTTTGGTTAGCTGCCAAATACATTAACTGTTTACACCACCCAAGCACTCCTTGTTTAAAATCAGACTGAGTTTAAAATAATCACGTTCTGTGGATTTTGCAGCCCTCTGTGAAATGGAGGTGTGCAGGTATGGTGCTGTAGGATCAGCACTGGACTGCAAACCCCATAAAGTCAGCAGTTTGAACTCACCAGCTGCTCCTTGGAAACCCTATACAGGGCCGCTATGAGTTGGAACGACTGAACGACACTTAGCAACAACAACAGGTGTGGTGAAACTCTAGTCATGGGTGGCTGACTGTGAAGTGAGACCTCACAGTCTCAGGTGGAAGATGTCATAGCTGCACATGGCAGGGAAAATTTCATGTTCCACCTTCAGGGGAGAAAGACTCAGTTTAACACAGCTAAAGCCAAGGAAGGATATAACAGCATTTCAAACACTCAAGTGTGATATGAGTAAAGAAACTGTACAGATGATATGTGATTTTGGAGTTGAGGTTGGAGAGTGGGGATGGGGAAGTGGAGATCGCTCAGCCTTAGTTGTCAAAGCTACACTGGTTGTTGCTGTGTGTCACTGAGTCGATTCTGACTGATTGTGACCCTACAGGGCAGCGCTGAACTTCTCCATAAAGTTTTGAAGGCTGTATATCTTTACAGAGGCAGATTACCTGCTCTGTTTTCCTGAAAAGCAGCTGGTGGGTACAAACTGCCAAGCTTTTGGTAAGCAGCTGCATGCTTAACCATTGTGCCACTAGGACTCCTTGCCAAAATGGTGACGAGATAGCTTTGTGAACTTTCAAGGGGTTCTCTTTGGGGGTTAACTAGAGCAGTGGGGGCAGAGAGCAGATCTTCCTTTTGATGCCCCAGTTCTCTTGAGGAGGGGAAGTCACCAGTGGCCACGTGTATAGCCGCTGACTCCAGCATCACCCTGCCCATCTTTGAGACTTTTATAAAACTAACCATCCACTTCACAGGGAGAAATGTAAAACTATTCACAACCATATAGAGCCTCTATGTACACCACAACGGGCAGAAAAAGAATCATCGTTGCCACCACCCACCGCGGGCAACCAGAACTCTCTGCAGGAAGTGGGGAGACAAAGACTTCCTCCCTTCCTGGCTTCCTGTATGCCGACCAATCAGGCTGTAACATCTGTCCCAGTCGTGCACCACCACTGATGTCTCTGGTACATCCTAAACATGACCATGGCAATCTTTGCTTCAGGAAGTTTTGTATTACCCAGGAGGGCTTCATCATGAAGATGGATGTTACTGACCACACCATCAATTGTATTAATGAAATGTATACTTCAGAATTGTACTATCCATCATAGAACCCATTGTTACTGTTGGTAGCTGACACTGAGTCAGCCTCAAAAGTCATGCACGACAGGATCATATAGTTGCATTTCATACAGTTTTCATTGACTGGGTTTTGGAAGATATCCAGGCCTTTCTTCTTAGTCTGTCTCAGCTTGAAGCTCCACTAACACCCGTTCAGCATCACAGCAACAAACAAGCCTCCCCTGGAAGATAGGTGAGGGTTGTTCATGATATATATTGATTGGGATTCAAATAGGGTCTTGTACATAGAAGGAGAGAAATCTACCACTGAGCCATTCATTGCTGCCCTCACCAACTACCTGCAGCACTATACTATATAACGCCTGCTGCTATTACGTTAATATGATAACATTAAATACTGATATTTACACAGGGGACTTGTATCCAAAATTAAGAACTAATAGTGCTACATCATGTTGCAAGGCTTCAGATCATTTCTAGTGTGTGCATTCAGAATGAAGAACACAGCCTCTATCCCAAGACTATTCTCTGGTATTTCAAAGGTTGCAAATAATGCAGCATCCAAACTCCATTCCTGTCTGCTAATCCTTGAGAGAGAAAGCCAAGATGCAGTGATGCCGGTGCCCCCTGCCAGGTTTTGCAGGGATCAACACATTGGGTGTTACCTTTCACTTGCTCAGGAATCCTGCTGACTGGCAGCTCTCAGGAGCCACACATGTTGGCAAGTCGGCTGCACTCCCCATATTACCTCCCAGCTTTGATGAACCCTGGTGACTCAACTTGCCTTTGCATTCACAGAAACTCTTTCTCTGCTTGGCACATTTCCCCACTTAGGGCCGACTTTCCCTCTGCTTTTGAAAACTGACATCAGTAGTGTTACTCCAAGCAGCAAGCCCCCAGGGAGAACACATAATGCGAGGCGGGGTGGAGATACTGGGTGCCACAAGACCCAGCAACAGTGTGTGTCCCAACAGAGTGAACAGAAATGAGACTGTTCAATTTATCTCTGCTGTTAATTCCAAGATGCTGCACTTCCAAATTGTAATAGTGTCTACAAACAATTTGCACTTCTGGAGATGCATGATGCTAGGGGGTAATTAACACACCCATGAAATCATCTTTTTTAAAAGCTTTTAAAAGCATCGTAGACTGAGGCCACCACAGTTGCAATCGAATCAATCCCGTTTCTCTGTCATTTTGGAAGCAACCTGGGCAATTCTTAGAGAGGTTGATAGAGCATAGGTCCTGGGTTTTATGGAAAGTTCCTTAAGATGTGTTAATTAGAAATCAAATGCAGCGAGTTTACTAGCTGGAAAGCTTTCTGAATAAAGCAGACTCTGAAGAAAAGGCTGTGGTTCACCAGCTAGAAGCAGAGTTCACAAGGGACCAAGGGACACTTAAGGGTTGAGAATTCCATACCATTCATCATCCCAAGGTAGAAGACTGCGTTCACCAGCATGCCTCCCTTCCGGAAGTGGTCACTCATGTGCTCCAACCAGTTGGCGTCCAAACTGCTCACTGTCTGACCATTCTTGGAGACCCGGAGAGGAATGGTGACAGGATAGTACTGCCGACACTTCCGCTGGCTCTTGGGTTTGTTGAAAAGGGTGAAGATCTCCATCTCTGTTGATATTTACAAAGGGAATGGAGAGAAAAGAGGTCAAGCAGTGGTAAAAATCTGCTTCATTGGGTCTAGAGGAACTTCTAGAAGACGGAAGAAATTGAATAAAAAGTGAGATCTCTGTTGGGTTGTACTGCCAGTACTAGTTGCCTCATGGCTGTATCATGCGAGTTGGAGTAAAGCTATACTCTAAAGGAGCTCTGGTAGTGCAGTGGTTACGAGTTAGGCTGCTAACCTCAAAGTCAGCAGTTCAAAACTACCAGCCATCCCACGGGAGAAAGATGAGGCTTTGTGTTCCTGTAAAGATTTAAAGCCTCGGAAACCTTATGCAGGGTCGCTATGAGTCAGAATCAACTCCAAGGCACACTACCACCACCATAGGAGTACGAATGGCTGGCTATTTTTTTCGGCCACAGATCATCAGGTGTTTCTACTGAGGCACCGCTGTGGTTGACAGCTGAGCACACGAACTGTTTGTACCACCAAAGCCTCTTGGCTGCAGGACTACTAATAAAACACGATTCCAAGCAGTAAACTGAGACTGCCTAAAAAGTGACAGAGGTGGGGGGGTGGGCACAGGTTTTTCATCTGGAATAGAATGTATAGCTGTCATCTGGGGTTAATTTATACAGTTAGGTGCTTGAGAAAAGGGCATAGTATTCATTTCTAGAAATTCAAATAAAAATGTGTTTTGGAGATAAAAGCAGACATATTTGGATAAAAGCTGGTCTTTCAAGGGTGAGTGGGGGACAAGGATAATGCAAAGAGGCACATGAAAACAAAAATATGGCTCTAATTCCAGGAACATTTATACTCCTGAATTCACTATTTATAAACTACAATGGTGTTTCCTTGGGCTGAACCCATAATACTTAATCAAGTGCATCAAAAATACAGCATTGATAAATGAAAATAAATAGGTTCCCGTAAATGAAGGTTGCTGCCTGAGCAGCCCAGTAGCACCAGAAGGGAGGCACCGAGCTTTCTACTACTTCATTTATAGCTTGGTTCTTCAGAAATCAATAGCCACTCCCACCCAACAGTTGTTCCGTGCCTGACAGACGTGCTGCAGGGCATGAGTTAGCAATTTCAACTTCCGGGAGCAAATACCTGGAATTTCATTCTAAATTTGAAGGTCTATATCTGTGTTACTCATTTAATCCAGAATGCAGCAATGATACAACTTAACACAGCCTTGTTTAGACAGGCTAGTCAGGAAGAGACTGGTTTGGTTTCCAAAACTATCAGTTTTACATAATAAGAAAATCCCCACCCTTCATTCAAAGAAAAATATGAAAGGTCATGAAGAACGGTTGATACCAGCAAAAAGGACAAAGTGTATTCATATTCAGGCTTTCTCTCTCTTGCCACAAAACACTGACCCTGGCCCACATTCAGGATGTTCTTTCCCAAATTTCAGTATTTTACAATCTGTACCATGCCCCACTACTTGTTGAACTTTTTTTTTTTTTTTTTTAAGTTGACTCGCTTGTTTTGACATGTTGTTGTTGTTGTTAAGTGCCGTCGAGTCGGTTCCGACCCATAGGGACCCTGTACAGGGTTTCCGAGGGTGTAAATCTTTACGGGAGCAGAAAGCTTCATCTTTCTCCCGTGGAGCGGCTGGTAGTTTTGAACCGCTGACCTTAAGGTTCGCAGCGCGATTCATAACCACTACGCTACCAGAGCTGCATTTAAAAAGGAGACTTTGTGAACCACTACTGCTTGCCATATGTAGGAGGTAACAATGAAGGACAGTCATACCAAATGATGTGTGTCCACTTGCCATCTAAAATGATCACAGAGTTGCCATATTCTGGGACAAATAGGATCTGAGAATTCTCTGGGGATCAATGCTGGACCATGAGATTTTGTCATCAGCGACAGTTGAACTATCAAGGAAGCCATTTCAAGATCTCTATCTATTAGGACTAATTTGGAATGGATGGGGCCCATCTTTGAAGTAGCCACCTAGATTTTAAACAAAGGATTCTACCCCATACATCATCCTTACCTGTTTTTTTAAAAAAAGTTTTTATTGTGAATTGAGTGAAGGTTTATGAAGCAGATCCGTTTTGCATTCAACACCTCATACACAATCCATCTCATCTCATCAGTCCCCGCAACTGCATCATCACTGACCCCACTTCCTCCCTGTGTTTCCTGTTTCCATTCCTCCCTCTTTCCTAACCCTTCTGAACTTAATCTTGAGTAAACGCTGGCCCCTGATCCAAGCGGTTGGTTATTCCAAGGTGTGCACATGTCACGTCATCACTGTTCCTGTCTGCCCAGTGTCTGGCTGAAAGCCAAGATACAGGGGTGAATTCAGTTCCAGACCTGAAAGGTACTCAATGGCCATAGTCTTGGGGCATCAACGTGTCTCTATGTAAATTACCAGTAATCCTAGTCTTTTTTTTTTTTTTTTGGTTTTGCTCTACATTTTCTCCCACTCTCTCCAGGACCTTCTAATGTGATCCCTACCTCATCTTGACTTTCTTGGTAGATCTGCCTGATTTAAGAAGACATCTTCAGTCAGTAAATGCATTCACACAAGGTCTTGGTTTATGGAGTTTGCCATCAGGAGACTACTTAGTCCCCTGCGCCACCAGAGTAGAATCTCTGGTGGCGCAGGGGGCTAAATATTGATTTTCTAACAGAAAGGGCAGTGGTTTGAACCCACTAGCAGCTTCACAGGAGAAAGATGAAGTCTGCTTTGGTGAAGATTCACCAAAGTCAGTAGGAACTGACTCTATGGCAGTGGATTCTGCTGTTGCAATCGTTAAGCATTCCTGATTGAGTGGTCTGCGGTTCAAATCCACCAGTAGGAGAAAACACCTGATGATCTGCTCCTGAAAAGATTACAACCTAAAAACGTCTAAGGGGCACTTCTCTGTCCTACAGGGCTGCTGTGAGTCAGAATGGACTTGACAGGAAATCACAAAGACAACCCTATTTTATAACTGAAATACCAAGTTTAGGACTGGAGTGATGCAAAGAAAGGTTGGCAATGAAGGGGATCTGGGGTGGGGGAGCAGAAGTGGACTACATGCCCAGGTGTGTTGCAGTCTTGGGTGCCAGGGGTTCAAATAAATGCTACTGAGGGAAGAGGATAAACAGTGATTTAGGGCGTCATTGTGTGGATGAGCCATGGACTCCACTTAGATTCCTTCAAAAGCAGGTCCTGTAAACATCTGGGGTGCAGTTTCTTTGGAAAGTGAACCCAGGTAACAAAGAAAGCAGAGAAGTGAAATACAGACGTGATAAAAGCCAATGAAGCAGGAGCAGGGCAACTGGGACTCAATCCCACTGGGGATCCTTTGAGAGACAGTGTAGAACTTGCCTCAGACTGTTCTACCAAGGGGCAAGGAGCTATGGAGGGCATTTGCCCACCAACTCCACCCTCATGGGGTGACTCCTGGGGCATTATTCCCTGGGATGTCTCTTTCCATGTGCTAAGAACTGTCTGCAAGTTGTCCCAAGGTAGATTGGGGTACCAGTCACTGCAGTCTGCACAAATGCATAAAAATTCAAAAGAAAAAAACCCAAAAACAATCACAGCATTTGCATGGGAGATATAAGTAGGGAATAGGGAAATGGCAAGTTAAAAAAGTCATGCCATTTAAGCCTACAGAAGGAACCCAGCTCACATGGGATGACAAAAACACAACATACCTAAATGTGTAATGAAATAGAAAAAGGGGAAGGCCAAAAAGGGAACCAAGAGCGGTGGGGGTGGGGGTGGGGAGACAAAATAACCAGTGCTGACAGCATGCCCCACGTTCCTGGCTGGATGCTTCCCAGGGTGGAGGGCTGAAGTCAAAAACAAAAATACATTTTTCAGGAAGGAAAAGGAAATGCTGTTGGAATTAAGAGCCTCTAAAGCATTTGTAGCAATGAAATATTGGGAGAATCCTGATTTCCGATGCATAACCCTTTAGTAAATGTCTCTCTTCCATGTCTCCTTGGCCAGCACAGGATCCTCTCCCTACTTACAGTCAAGAGAAACTGTCCAAAAATGGTGCCCTTGTTTTCAGACTCTGTTTCTCCAACAGACATCTTCACAAGATCACACATGAGCAGGCATCAGGGATCCAAAAAGAAGCCCTGAGTTTGTTTAAATTTCCTCAGCTGCTCTGTGACTCTGCCATGACCCCAGCTGGAAGATTTTTCCAGACGTGGGACAGAAAGTCCCAAAGGAAATTATTATTTGGGAGAATGTTCTGAGACAGGCTGAAGAATTGAACAATAGAGCACCCAGGGCATCAAGACTGTCTTGTCTTTCTTTCTATATCTTTCTGCCTTGTTAATCTGTTATTTCTCTCAGCAGGAGAGCTTGCCTTTCTTCATGTGGATACCTGTTGCTATTGTCAGTAGGGAGTCGATTTTCGACTCAGAGCATCCCCATGTGACAAAAGAAAATTACTTTATACAGTTTTCTTGACTGTGATCTTCACGGGAACAAATTGCCAGGTCTGTATCCTACAGAGATGCTGGGTGGATTCAAACTGCCAATCTTCTGATCAGCAGTCAAACGCTTAACCATTGTGCCACCAGGGCTCCTAGTATCTAGCACACTTCCTGTGATATGGTTGTTGTTCTTGTTAAGTTCCATCGAGTCAGTTCTGACTCACAGGGTTTCTGAGGAGTGGCTGGTGGGTTTGAACTTCGGACCTTGTGGTTAACAGTCCAGTACCCATCTAATAGTGCCACACTGGGAGTCTTGTGATATGGTAGTTGCTGCACATATGATGTCTGCCAGACTGACCTAAACTAGACCAGTGGAGGAAGCTAGAGGACGAGAGGGCTGTGTGCTCCTCGCCTGACAGCCCTGTCTCTTCATCTTCATCTTGCTCAACCACTTGGGAATGGGGAGCAGAGAGGCAGGTGTCCAGCTCTAATGCCCATGCCCATGTCCATGGGGAGGAACTTGGGTATAAGGTGAAGTCTGCAGCCTGTCTACCGGTCTGGCTTCAGAGGGTTCATGACTTGCAGGTGAGCAAGGAGT